ATGTGGTGCTGGGGGATTGAACCGCGGTCCCTGTGCTTTCCTAAGCTTGTTCTAAGTAGGTGCTTTAGACCACTGAGCCATCTCACCAGCCCCCCCCCCCTTTTTTTAATCGTTCAGATCTGTGGTCTGTTTTGAGTTTATTTTTCTGTTGAGTATGTGTCTCAATTCCTTTTTCATTTTGGTACTGAGGGTTCATCCCAGGGCTTTCACACTACATGGAACCCTGAGAGCTTGTTAAATATTTACTTTGCAACAGGGTCTTGCAGTGTCCCCAAGGTGCCAGGCTGGGCTTAAAATCACTGTCTTCCTGCCCCGGCCTCCCAGATGGCCGGGTTATGTGGGCGTGCGTCACCATGCCCGGTTTTGTTTTCCTCTTTCTTCTATTCCTTTCTGGAAATCCAATTATTCCAGCATCATTTACGCAGCGCTTTCCTTTGTCTCAGCGATATTTTGTAGTTTTTGCTGTAAGGGCTTAAGCTTCTTTGTTAAATTGATTACTGAGTATTCTCTTGTTTGGGTTGCTTTTTTTGGATACACAGTCTCTCTGTGTAGTTCAGGCTGGCCTGGAACTCACTCTCCAGCCAGGGCCTCAGACCCACAGAGCTCCTGCTGCCGTAGCCTCCTGGATGTTGGGATCCAGGGGTGTGCCCGCCGTGGAGCCTGGCAATGGAGGTTATCGGGGATCTAACAGTTTTCTTAGTTTGATATTTCATGTTCACACACAGAAGCTCAGTCAGGCTTGTATCTTGGCCTTATTTCCTTCCTAACTAACTTCCAAGTCGTCGTCACTTCCCGGCGGGCTCTGTAGCACTTTCTACGAAGAGGGCTTCCGGGGAGGGGCAGCCTTGGCCCTGCCCTCTGTGCCCTGGCTTCTCACGCTGCCCTGCTGCAGCCAGAGTCCCTGTCACAGAGCTGCGCACAGCGAGAGCAGACACCCACCCTAAGTCCTCGGTGTGTGGCCAGCGTAGCTTGCAGTCTGTCACCATCAAGTCAGGTGGAGCTGTGGGGTCGCAGACGCCCTTGATCAGGGGCAAAAGTTTCTTGTCACAGTGCTTGGGGAGCTTGGCCAGGTGACAAGGGCTGTGAGTCTGGACCAGCTGTAATGTACATACTTCCCCAGGTCCTGTGCCAAAGCCTGGGCCTTCCTGGGGACTCAGAAAGGAGGAAAACACCTGCGAGACTTGGGACACAGGCATGAAGTAGTGACAGTTCCTCCCACCACCTGGGCAGGCTAAGAAGACTGCAAGCTGGAGGCCCCCGTGGCCCCCACAAATACTCCATCTAAACTCCTATCAAGAAGAACTTGTTCTGTCCTGCCACTGGGATAAGAAAAGCACATCCTAGCAAACAAGAGAAAACATCCAGACCAAACTCTCTGATCAACTAAGTCCCATGAAAGCCACAGTCCCACCCATCAGCAAACAAGGAGGGACCCTGCCAGGGTGGCCACACTCCCTGTTCTGGTGTCAGAGATTGGCAGTGGACCTGGGTGCCTTCATCACTTGGTAGCAGTGACCGGCACCACTTCCACAGCAACGAGAAGAGGCTGCTAAACCACAAGGTTTGTGGAAGAGCCAGTCTCCAACCAGGGCTGATACTCACATCTGTGATTTTAGCTGCCTGGGAGGCTGAGGCAGGAGGATTGCAATTTGAGCCTGGCCTGGGCAACTTAGGACCTAATTTAGGATGACCTGTCTCAAAAAAAAAAAAAAAAAAAAAAATGGAAAGGGAAATGACTCAGTGGTGGAGAGCTTGCCTTAAGCCCCAGGACAGAGGGAGGTGAAGACAGAGCCAGAGCCAGAGACAGATGGAGACCGAGACGGAGACAGAGACAGAGAATGAGAGAGAGCATTTCATAACACTCTCATGGAAATTTACCAGCCAGCTCAAGAACAAAGAACTCTCAACCTGAATGAGAGAAGACAGTGCGCAGAGGTCATCCGAGAAGGCATGGAAGCGTGACTCATCAGACCAGGACTTAAATGTCGCCATCAGGAAACCACTTCAAGGGGCGATGGCAGACGTGCTGGAGAGGTGAACAAGTGGCTGCAGAGCTGCTCATGCGCCACTGGGCCAGCTGCGCGCTCCCTCCGCGGCCCTGGAGGTCTCCCTGGAGGGTCACTGCTGCCCACCGCGGGCACAGTGGGCACTATCTGGCTGACAGCCACCCCTTGCTTCCGGCTGCTCCTGCGCAGCCTCAGCCCCATGCTGGCTGCCCGGCGTCTCCCATTTGTCTCCGGCCAGTTTTCCTTCTGGAGTCTGTTTCCCACCTCCCCCTGTTCTAAGCCAGCCCTGCCCTAGTTACAGGATGACAATCAGAATGACAGCTGCGAAGTGGGGGGCCCAGTCCCAGGCAGGAGGGCCACAGAGTCCCGCTGTCCTTCTCCGAAGTTCTAGGAGCTTTTGATGAACAAGGGAGACACGATAGGTTGTGCATTGTGCATGAATTCTAGATCCCTGAAATTTGAAAATGTACTCTGTTTTTTTTGAGATAGGGTCTTCCCGTGTAGTCCAGGCTGGGCTTCAACTTGAGGCGCTCCTCCTGCCTCAGCCTCCTGAGTGCTAGGATAACAGGCTATGTGACGCCACACCCAGCAAATACCTTTTTCGGAATGGGATCTTATGGTCTGTGTCAGACTTCTTTTGTACCACACTGAGGCTGGCACGTGCGTACTGTTCCTGTGGTGTCGGTTGGTGCCTGTTGCGGGCTGGTTTTCCACTCTGTGGAGATGCCATCATTTGTGTCACAGATTCTACTGCAAGCGGTTTCCAGGCTGGGGTGATGGTGAGCAGGGTTGGGCAGACTCTGGAACGCAGTAGACGCATGTCTGCATGGTCTGCATGGCCTGCGTGTCACTAGGATGTCACCCCAGAGCGGAACCGGGGGCTCCCACAATGTGCACACCCGGCTGTAGGAGAAAGTAGCTGCTGCGGACCAGGACGCGCCCAAGGCTGTGCCTGCGCCTGCAGCCCCGGGCCTGCGGATCCCTCCGAGAAGAAGGATGTTCAGCTGTGATTGGGTTGAGGGCCCTGAGACTGCGAGGCTGTCTCCAGCTACCCCAAGGGTTCTTAGAAAAGAAAGACAAGGCGGCGACCTGGCGCGGCGGTCTCAGCGCCGGGCGGCGGAGCGCGAGGTCGCCGGTTCGCGCCCCCGTCCTGACTCTTTCTCTCGGGGCTGGTGAGATGGCTCCGTGGTCTAAAGCACCTACTTAGAACAAGCTTAGCAAAGCACAGGGACCACGGTTCAATCCCCCAGCACCACATGCCAGCCCGCCCGCCCCCTGGTGGGTTGAGCTGGCCACACACACACACACACACACACACACACAAATAAAAATAAAAATTAAAATTAAAAAAAAAAAAGAAAGACAGCTGGACATGGCGGTGCATGCCTGGTAGCAGGAGGATCGCTTCGAGCTCAGGGCCATCCAGTGCTACACAGTGAAACTAAAACCAGCCTGAACTACACAGTGAGACCCTGTGTCAAAGCACCAGTACAGGAAAGGATAGAGCACCCTGGAACCTAGGGATGAACAAATACCCCTGCTTAATCTCCTGGAGGAAGTGTGGCACAGTGGCTCGAGCCCAGTGACCCAGGCTGGGGACTTCTGGCCTCCAAGCTTTGAGAACATACATCTGGCAGTACTGACCACCACTCGCGGAGTTATGACATCCACCGAGTGTGGCTGAGGCTGCCAGACCCCGCCACTATGGCTGCCCTGTGTAGTCGAGGCTGGGCTTAACTTGAGGCGCTCCTCCTGCCTCAGCCTCCATGTGTCCTTCTGTGGGGTATGAGTCCCAAAGGAATGTCCCCATCTTCAGATGAGAAGGCAGAGGGCCAGGAGAGCCCTGGGAGAGTCGCTCACAGCAAGGAGCCCAGCTCCACCTGTGTCACAAGGCTCCAGCGGTGTCAACGGTCACTGGATACAACCTAAGTGTCCTAGAAGGGAGGTTTGTTCAGAAAAGCACAACAGGACAGAACAGTGGGTTGCCAGCAGCCACTAAAACAAAGGCCTAATGGCACGCACAGCAGCTTGTGGGGTGAGAGAGGACATGCGGGCCGTAGCTGAGCCCCGAGACCCCGCGTGCCCTTGCCCCGCCTCCGTGCCTTTCGGTGCTTTCCGAAGTACCTGAATGAGCACGTGTTGCTGCAGCAGGCAAAAGCAGCTCAGTGCTGCTGAAGGCTGCCGGGTCTCCCGCAGGTGTGCCGGTGTTCCGGGTGGAGCCCCAGGACGTCACGGCGAGGCCTGGAGAGGACGTGGCCCTGCGGTGCCAGGCCACTGGAGAGCCAGCGCCCACCATCGAGTGGCTGCGAGGCGGGCGGCCCCTGCGGGCTGTCCAGCGGCTGCGGACCCTGCAGGATGGGAGCCTGGCGCTGCAGCGCGTGGAGGCGGGAGACGCCGGGGCATACGAGTGCGTCGCTCACAACCTCCTGGGCTCTGCCACAGCCCGGGCGTTCCTGGTCGTGAGAGGTAGGAGGCATCGCTGGCCAGGTCCTTGTGGACACCGGCAGCAGCTCTTGTTCCCTCAGGGATTGTGCCTCGCTTCGAGGGTACCTGGCCCGCCACACTGCCGACTGTGCAGCGCTCTGTTAGGTCAGACTCAGAATCGGCCAGTGGGGCGTGCCTTGCGGTTTATCTTGGTCTACCCCGCTCGCTTGCAGTTGGGGAAACTGAATCTAGGGGGCCTGTCTGCCACTGATGTTAGACGGGGGACCCCGGCTGTCCCAGGATGGCTCACCACCTGTGAGTTGCTAGTGCACAACAGGAGTGTCCACGCTGCACATGCGGGGCTAGTGTCCACCCAGGGTTCACACGTGGCCTGGCCAGAGAAGTGCCAGATGGGACACAGCTCAGAGATGTCACTAATCCTACTGTGTCAGGATTTGTCAACTTTCTTGTCCCTTGGGCCAGACCCAAATTTAAAGTTAAAGAAATGGTAATCCTGAGAAACCATAGAAAATAATACAGACCTGCGCAATGGGAAGTCACAGAATAGGACTTCTGGGTGGTCTGTGTCCTGTAGCAAACAGTCCACAGGTACAGCTTTGTGTTCCATGTGCAACGCCAGAATCATTCTCGTAGACCCCTTCCTCTCCAGCCCCATCCCTAGCAGACATCATTAATCTATCACCACACATAATGTCAGAATCTCTCTGTATAGACCCTTTTTCCAGAGCTTCCCTGACAAGTATCACCAATCTATCGATGTAATCAATATCAGAATCTTTCTCCGTAGAACCCTTCACTGTGGACTGGGGAGAGAGTTAAGTGGCATAAGCGCCTGACTGGCGAGTGCAAGGTCTTGAGTTTGATCCCTTTTACCAGATGTCACACCAGCCCCATAATGGGCCATGGTGGTACACATCTGTAATCCCAGCAATAGAGAAGCTGAGACAGCCTCCTGTCACTATGAGTCTAATTTTGAAGATATTTGCAGATATCTCTAATCTTCAAATGCATACAATGTCAGAATTTCTCTCCATAAAACCCTGCTCCAACTTGACCCATGGCAGACTGGACTAATCTATCACCATACACCATGTCAGGCTTTCTCTTCATAGAATCCTTCTATACCTTGTCCATCGCAGGCATCACTAATCTATCATGACAGGCATCTCCATAGAATCCTCTGGGCATCAAACTAACTAGAATTGGGATTTGGTGCTGTGTCACTTGAAACCCACTCTGCCTACCAAAAGTGGGCCCTCTCTGGCCCCTGATCTTCCATCTCCTACAATCGGGCAGGATGGCGACACATACTGCATGAGGAGTTCAGCACTGTGACACCAGCCAGGAATGCTCTCGGGAGTGACTTCATTCACACCCACTCCTGGCACCTACACGTGGCTTCTGGCTTGGCTCCTCAAGCCATGCTGACAGGAGAAGCGCAGCATGCAGGGGCGTAAGCAGCACACACTGCCTGTCTCATAGCCCTGGAGGCTCGGAGGGCAAGGTCAGGGTGCGGGCAAGGTTGGTCCTGTCCCAGCTTCTGGTGGCTTGCTGCTGCCCTTCGTCATGGGGCATTGGATCTGTGTATCTCTGAATTTCTCTTTTTATTTACTACTACTACTACTACTACTTCTGGATTTTTAAGACAAGGCCTCCCTATGTGGTCCAAGCTGGCCTCAAACTTATGGAGGTCCTCCTGCCTCAGCCTCCTGAGTGCTGGGATTACTGGCATGTTCCACCGTGCCTGGCTGCCCTGTTTATAAGGATGAAGGAATACTGGGTTAGGGCTCATCTCAACGACCTCATTGTCACTTAGTTTGCTCTGTAAAGATCCTAAGGTCTCAGTCAGAGGTCCGAGGTTCAGACTCCAGCCTGTGACTTTGTGCAGCGTGGCACAGCCCACCCGGTGTCCTTCTTTTCTGAGGGGAATGGCTCTCTTCCTGTGCTGCAGACTAATTGCAGGAAGGCCAGCAGATACAGAAGCTTGAGGAGGAAGAAGAAGTTACCTCCCATAATCCAGTTACCAGAAATGGCATAGGCCACGATTCGGGGCTGTGTCCTCTCACTTCTTCTCTGAGGGGAAAGATTCTCCATCTTTTTATAAACAAGGCCTCGTCCACGGGTCGTCTTCGCAGCCCGCTGTGGATAAGGCCGCTCTGCCTGGGGCGCTGTCCCCCAGGAGCCAGCCAGGGCCCACTCTTCTCAGCTGGCTTCCTCTTGTGGCATGGCAGTGGTGTCGCTTCCTTTCTGCCGCCTTTGCCAGACGAGCACGTTTCTTTCCCCTCATTCCCCCTCTCCAGGCCAAACCATGGGGCCCATCTTGGGGTGGCGGCCGGAATTTCCTACAGGGAAATCTCCTCAGGGGCCTTTATTAGGACAAGGAGTTTTGCTTTGGGGTGTTGTTTTCTTTTTTCTTCTTGTCATTTTGTAGCACTGGGAACTGAACCCATCCCCAGCTCCTTTGTTATCTTTTACCCTCGAGACAGGGTCTTGTTAAGTTATTAGATCATCCAGGCTGGGCATAGACTCGCAGTCCTCGTGCCTCAGCCTCCCAGAGTGCTGGGGTTCTGGGCGTGCAGCAGTGTGTCCAGCACAAGGGAAGTTTCGAGGCCTCCTGACTACAGACTTACCTTTCCCTCCCCTTCCTGCCTCTTTCTCCTTCCCATTCGGAGAAGAGGCTCTACTCCATGAGCCTGTCCTTTCCCAAGCCTGCGGGGTCCACTCCTGCCTCCTCATCTGTGGCTCTGGGCTCTTTCCTGTCCCCTCATTAGAAGGCCTCGCCCTGCCCCATGTCCCCACGTGCGCCCCAGCCCAGCGCAAATCTCATCAGCCCGGCTGCAGGCTGCAGGAAGCTGCTCGCCAGGCCCCTCATTTACCCATTTAGGGTCCTGGCTGTTGAGTGTTTTCTGTTATGTTCTGACAGATCATGGGCAGTTTGCTGCTAATGTCCCCTGAGAGCTGGCAAGGGGAGGGCAGCTAACTTGTGCCCTTGCCCTCTGGAATGCCAGCTGCCCTGCAGAGGTGGCTGCCCATTAGACAGAGGAAGCTCTCCCCACCCCCGCGTCTGCAGAGCGGCCTTGGCAGACTGCCTGGCACTGCTAGGGAGCCACCCGCCCCACCAGGCCAGCTGCAGGGTGCTGGGCCAGGGCCACTGATGGAATGGGGGCTGCAGGTGACATCATGCAGTTCTGCAGGGTGCCAGCCCCTGCCTTCACAGACTCCTGGCATGTAGAGTTCAATAAGTGTCCTGCGTGTCCCAGGGCCACCTCCTCATTTCACAGAGCAGCCCACTCGCTGCGGCATCTGCACACACGTACTCGCCTCTCAGAGTCAGGCTGCCTGGGCACCACGTGAGAGCATTCGCTGTGTGTCCTCGGGGAAGTCACTGCCCCTCTCTGAGCTTCTCTTCTTGCTTGCCCTGAGGGCCCAGGCAGCTTGTGTCACTGCTACTCATTTTCTTCCTCACAGAGCACCCCCAAGGGAGCCGGGGCAGTATGATTGGGGTGATCAACGGCCAGGAGCTTGGTGTGGCCACTCTCAACACCAGTGTGCAGCAGGAGGCGCTTTCTGGGGTCACCACCATCCACAGCAGCATCAGCCGCATCCCGGCAGATGTGGGTAAGTGGTGGTCGGGGTGGCACCTCATGGAGGCCCACTCTCCCTGCCCAC